TAGCTGAAATCAAATCAGGCAAGTAAATAAACCCCAAGTCCACATCTGATTAGAGAAGATATATGGGAGGTATGAATAGGACTAGCCAGATGCTGGACCATATGATGAACACTGAGGATCATGGCATCATATAATACTGGGCATTTATATGGTACAGCTGGCTATGCATAATCTTCTCCTAATTTATAAGGCTGCAGCATCTGGTCTGTTGTAACTGCTCTATCAGCTTTTCCAGAGTCTGGTTCTTGAATTTCTCATAGCTGAATATGGCTCTTCTGAGTGCCAGAGGAACAGGAAGTTAAAGCCATTTACACTGGGAGATAAGCTCGTACTCCATTGAACAGTTAAGAAGGTTCAGCCCCATCATGAAAGAAAGAAGGGTAGGCCCTTGTGGGATGTGCTCCACTTCACACGAAGAACAGCAGCTGCAAACTCTGAAAGATGTATTGTTTATTTCTCATTGGCAAGACCCTCAGCTGTGACACAGGGACTTGGGATAGACGAGGCCGTTGTGACAGGTTGTGCCTGTAACTGCAGACATCCCCCAGGGATACAGCAAGTGAGAACCTTCAGAATAGGCTGCACAAGTCCTGCTTTTGCTGTGCTGCTTGGTCTTCTTCACCCCATGCACTAGAAGCTACCATTTATTTTTGTCTTTTCCTGAGACAGAAGCTGGCATTTGTCACTTTGTTAGGAAGTGCCTGCTCTGTTAAGTGACTACAAACCAAGAGAAGGGTGTTTTCAGTGTAGTCTTGCAAACTTATAGCCAAAAGGAGTTAAGCCAGCAATGTAAAGATGTCCTGCACTGAGTGATGTGCACTACCCACTGCGGAGCTGTGTTCCACCCCAGGCAGCTTTGGAGACCCACAGCAGATAGTCTCCTTGTGACCATAAGGAGGAAGCAGAAGGAGGGCTTGAGCTCACTTTTTCAGGTGTTTCCAAACTGACTTACATGCAGCAAAACCCCAGCTGCAGCTTAAAGTCCTCTGCCTCCGTTCCACCCTCAAGGAGATATAAACAGCAGTGCAGCATGCAGGCTAAGGCACTGTGAACTTGTTTTTAAAACTAGAGCATTATCAAGGCTAGCTAAAAGCTGTGGGTACAGATCACCAGCCAGTATATGCTACAGCAAAGTGCCTCTCTCTGCAGGATCCCCATCCTGCAAGCCCAGTGGAACATGTCTTGGCAATGTGGCCACCACTGATTGCAGATTAAAAACATGGCACTAATCATTTTATGAAACCCTTCCCCAGTACAATGTCAGAGCAGAGCTGAAAGGACATTTACATTTCAAATGGAAATAGAAAATTGGCTTTTGCAGAACATCATGGGGTTGGCAATAATAAATCCTGGTACCACCAGAATGGAAGAGGATCATTCCTGCAACTCCTGTGCTGCTTTCTGTAAGCCTGCATTGCTGCTGAAGAACTGAAACCTGGCTAGCAAATTGAACTGCTGGGGTTTAAATTCCCGGCTCTCAGTGAGGATTGGCATATGGATGGTGTCCACAACCAGGCAAGAAAGACCCTCCTGATGGGTTTTCACACAGGGTCTGGCCAGCCTTGGGTGGGAACTGATAAGGAGATCACCACCAGGTGCCCCCACCTTCCACATTAACTTGGAGGTGGGGCAAGAAGCCACATCTATAAGAACTGACTCTGCATAGTGCATGTGCTATGTGGGGATTCTGGCTGTTGGAAAGGCTCCCTGACTGTGCATAGCAATTGGAGTTCCCAGGGTGGCAGGGAGAAAGGTGAGTTGCTCTTTGGGAAACTTCTATGTAATTGGACTCATTGCCTGGCTGATTCCATCTCCAGTGGCATGGTTCCTTGGCCAGTTTGCTCCCTTCTGCACATCCTTTGCAGGGACTGAGTGCATTGACTTGTTCCTCTCCTCAGTTGTCTGGCACTTAGGATCTCTGGTGTAGTGTGGTAGTGGAGGGAAGACTCTGTCTGCTGGCTTGCCTGTTGATTATACTGTCCTTCTATGTCAGGCAAGTGGTCAGCAGTAGACAAATACAACAGCACAAGACTTCTTCAGACCTTTTATTGCTTTTCCCAGTATGTGTGCTGGATATTTTTAATAATTTATGAAACTGAAAAACTTTCATGTTTTCAACATCTTTGTAGGTCCAGCTGCTATGTTTCTTAGCCAGGCCTGAACACTTCAGGTACTCCTGTGGCTCTGCTGCCTTTTTTTTTTTTTTTTTTTTAATGCTTTCTTTAACATCTGAGAGTCCTAAACAGTTTCATCCTCTGCATCTGACATAAGTGCAGTATCCTGTATTGTCAGATTCTGTTCACCAACTAAGTTTAGTCAATGTAACCTTAATAAAGCCTTACCTTTGTGTAACAAAGGCAACATGATCCATTCTAAGGAAGGAAGTGAATTTAAAAAATAACTTGAATTACCACAGATATTGTTTTAGGGCTGTGATAACCCGTGAGTGGATGAAGTTGCTGGTGAAATATAAGAAAGGCTATTTCTTAACAGTTTGCCTGGGTGGTTTTATTGTGGTTCTGCAGTGCTGGATATGAGACTTGTCATGATGCCAGGTACTATACAGAGATTTAATAAGCCTCTCTTCCCCCAGAAAACTTACCTAAATTATGAAACTGGGATATGAATGGGGCAAAACAATCAGAGGAAATGAGAAAGGAGCAAAAAGGGAAGCATGGTGAAAGAAACCTGATTTCATGGACTAGGTATATGGACAGAGCTAGATGCCTGCAAATCTGGTCATTCAGATATATCGTGTATTAGAATCAGATGGTGGAAATATTTAACAAATAATGCCCTCTTCTGTTAGGCTAAAGGCAAGATTGACCAGCATTCACTTTCTTCAGCACAGCCTTCTCCCAAACAACTATTGCCAGCATCCTGATGCAGCTCTCAGTGGTGCTGCCTCCAAGTGAGGTGCTCTTGACAGACCGTGAAAAAAGCTTTGGATGTGGCATAAGTGAACTCAAAGTCTGCCAGTTAAACTGAACTAACCCACCTTTCCCTATGTGAGTTAAGGGAAAACTGGATAGTGATATGTAGCAGGGAACTCCATTCTTCCCAAGTCTTGCTTTATCTTCTTGCCTCTCCTACTCTCACCTCCTCTGATTTATTTTGCAATAACAGAATCCAGTTATGAGTTAAGATTCCCATTACTTACAGACCTTGGAGATCTGAAAAAGCCCCTTCACCTCTCTATTCTGCCGTGGCTTAGTGGTCATCTACCCAGACCTTGCCCAAGAAATCTTTTCCCATGTAGATAAAGACTAGTAGGAGTAAAATCATTAGAAATCACAGGTGATGGTCAGCATTTGTTTGTCATTTACTGTGAAATGGTTGAAAGGTCTTGTCACTTTGACTGTCTGTCACTGGCTGAAAGAGAACATTTTTTCAGTTGAAGTGAGCTCCTGCCTAAATACTACTGATTCCATTATCAGAAATGTGATGTTGAGGGCACTATGAAGACATTGTGAGCATGGGTTATACTCCTGTACTGCATGTTTTTTATTTTAAAGGAAGGACACTTCTTTTCATCTTCTGTTGCAATCTGTGTTCCAGATGAAATAAAATATCTGAAATCTGTATTTTATAAACTGTATTTTAATTCCAAGGCTTAAAATAGAAAAAAAAACTAGAAACAAACTTTAGGATATTTTCACAAATACTTTTCTTTTTTTTTTTAATATATTACAAGACTGCTTTGTAAATGCAAATATATGCTATTGTAAATTGTAGTATAGGAAATAGAAAGAATCTGTGGCTTTTGTGTAGTATAAAAACATAAGTCAAATCATTTAATGCAGCAAAAGTTAACTTTAAAAGTATCCAAGTATGTATTCCAGACATGGATCACAGATGTTGATTTACAACTGGATCTGTGATGGAGGCATCTTCCACCATTATCCCTGTAAATGGGAAGAGAGAGAACTTCTGCTGGAGTGCACATTTAAGCTGGATAGTATTCAGTTTAACTGAAAATTCATCACATGCCATTTGCCTGCATCCCTCCTATACCTCTTCAGGTTGTTCAGCTGTAACCTGAGCTTCCAGCCTTTTACACTACTGTGAAAGCAAGCTGAAAAGCAGGAAAATCGCCTAGGAACTGGCTTCCTCCTCAGCCTAAACCCAGTGACCAGGCCTCAAGAGAGACCAATATTATACATCATATTATGAAGCAGAAGAAAGTCTTTTATAATTAGGGCACTGAACTAAGAACAAAGCCACAGGTTTAAACTTTGATGCTTTTCCTATTTTCCTCTGTTATTCCTAGAAAGGGCCCAAATCTGAGCTTGTTAAAGCAAAATACACTGAAGTTAACTTTGGCTTGGGTCTTTACACACTCTGTGCCTTGATAGGTAGGCTTCATAGTAAATCTCTCTGCTGAGCATACAATAAGTGAAGACAGTCTAGTGAATGAGGTAAGAGACAGATTTTTTTCAGATCAGTTAATTGAGCTAACTCTCATTTTGGCCCATGGAAACTCATGACATTGATAACTGATATATTTTAAATGGACACCTGAAGAATGGCCATGAAAAGAGAAAGGGTTCATTTGAATTAAATACATCAGTTAAATTCCTGAACAAAATTGCAGAGCTTGCAGCAGAATTGCATGTTAATAAAGTTGGAGGTCCCTCATTTTCCTAGTTAATTATTAATGACAACAATAATAAAAACAATAAAAACAGATGGAAGCAGTACTATGTATAATGGTTTAAAGAAAGGGAAGAGGGAGGTCTCTGTGGACTGTGCCACCATGCAAATTATCCATGTCACTCCTCTAATCTATTTGGGCATATAATTCCAACCTGATGTGAAGTTAGCTGAGATGATGTAAGAACTCTGGTTAATGTTGTTATATGGTATGACAGTTTCTATCCTACACTTTTTTTTTTCTCCTTTTGCAGAGTAGTTGCCTTTGGTGAGGGGACAGCTCTTGACTTCCAGAGTCATCTCCAACTTTGGCTGTTGACTTACCTGTCACAGAGGTGCCAGCTCTGTCACTCCAGCATGAAGCATTGCCTGCTGCTGTAGGCACTGCTGCGGTCCAGCATTGGCACGTATATTTTAGCCACAATGCAGTAACTGACTCCGGGCCTCAAATCTTCTATTTTAATAACCTTGCCTTTTCCTTCATACACCAGGACTCTGTGTTGCTTCAGACAGTGAAGTAAAAACAGCCAGTCAAGAGCATTACCCTAGCAAGTGTGTCTGTGAGTAAAGTTTGGTAAGAACAGAGGATACAGAGCAACACATGGACTTGAACAAAGTTAATAGCATTAACAATTTATTAATTATTTTTAAAGAAAATTCCCCTTCCACCACCCCCCCTCCTCTCAGCTCCCCTTCTGTCCCATTTTTTTTAATCTAGGTTTTAGAGTATGAGATACTAAGTTGATGGCAAAGAATAAAAAGGAGGAATTACAACTCAATTCAAACAAATTCAGTTCCTAAAAAAATAGGCCTACTTTGTTTTCAAAACTTCTTTGTTCTGCATGGTCATCAGTGCTCTCCCAGTCCCAGAAAACTGTTGCATCTGTGGGATGAGGATGGTGTGCCACTACTTTCCTGGCTATTCAGTGGTAAAGGGTTCATATTTAAATATGCACTTACCTCGTCTAGCAAGTTGTTAATTATAAAGACTTGATATAGCAGATCGTAATAATTTGTCATGGGTATCTTGCTGCCTTTCCTCCTTTTATAAGGAGAACGTGGAGCCTGAAGCTTTAGTATTATGGATTTGTTGCTGTGCATCACGGTTACCATTGGAGGTCCTATCACAGCTAAGGAAGAAACCAAAAGCTATGAATACAATTATAGTTTATTAATAATGTTTCACAGAACAGTTTGAATCTATTCAACAATTTACCGTTCTTGTTACCAACAATATGTTATGCTGTATCTACTGTTAAAGTACCACTTTGTAAATCCATACTTCTCGGTGGTGGTTTCCTGGGGGTATATTGTGGGTGACATCTGTGTTTGTAAATCTATCTTTGAGTCAAACTTTTTGAAATCTCTCAGAACTGTATGTTGCTGACTGCAGGCCTGATAACAGCTGAAAATAATTTGTGTAGTTCCATGCCTTCAGGAAGAGGTTGACTTAAAGGGGAGCCAGGCACTTCTGATCCCCCTAATTGTTGCTAAGTGGCTATTTATCCATGACTGGTTGGTTTTCAAGTGTGGGAAAAATAATTTTAGTGCAACACTTCACCTGAGAGCTATTGACTCACCATTTCTTTTGGTACAGCTTTGTGGCTAGAAAAGGATTACTCACATTTGCAAATTGTGACCAGAAATGATGTGTTCTGTGGCACAGAAAATCTGACCCCTTTCTCAGAGAGTCCCACATGTTTGCGCTTACTTTCTCTCCAGGGAGTGAATCTGCAGCTGAGGCTCCAGTGGGAGTAGATGCCCGCTGAGGCGGCCCTCACTCTGCCGTAGTAAGGCTCTTGGATGTCAGAGGTCTCATTTGTTAGGTCACAGACATGGTTTTGAATCCCCCAGCAGCTGTCTTTGTTTTGCCAGGTCCTCTGCCCATACCTGTGGAGAAAGAGGAGGAAGGATGTAAGCTGTAGCTATCCCCGTCTGGCTCTGTACAGATTTTTAATGTGGTGGCACTGACCAGTGCTCTGCAGTGGAAATTAACTCCCTTCAATCTGATGACAGGGAAGATTGATTTCAGGGGTGTTTGGGAGCTACAGGTTTCTGTTTTCTGAAAGAAACCTAAAGCAGACACATGGGTCACCAGTCCTGGAGGGAGTCACTGCATACTGGCCCCTCAGGAGAGGTGGGCATGCTTTGCCTTAGCCAGTGTGTCCAATGATGGGCAGAATGCCAGTTTCCATCAGCCAATTTCTCAAAGGCAATAGTGATTTCAGGTGCTCACCAGAGATGCCAGGGATGGAAGCATTAGCGGGTCCTAGCGTTGTCTCAAATTTGCCATGCAGGGCACCCTGCAGCACTGTCATGGGCAAGGTGGGACACCAAAATACCGTAAATATCCTATTGCAGAAAGTACTTGACCTAGCTACACCTGCTTCAGGCAGGCAGTTGGACCCGGTGACCTCCAGAGGTCCTCTGCAACTCTATAGTGCAACGAGGGTGCAGAACGTATTACTGGAGGTGCTTGTTCCCTGAACCTTGTGGGCTATTGATAAGCGGGGCAAGAACCAAGAGTTAGCAGTCAAGCAGGATGTGGCTGTTCCCTAGGTATGGGGAGACTATCCCGTGTCACCTGATAAATTCCTTTGATGTGCCAAGCAGGAACGGGCCCCAGCCTGGAGGGAGGCTGGAGTTCCCCTGGTACTTACACTTTATACTGCACAAAGTAGACTGTGTCCCTTGCCTCTCTGGCCCTCCCAGGCTGCCAATGCAAAGTGCTGTTGAAGTTTAATGAACGGAACTCTACCTTCTGTGGCTTAATTGAATCTTGCAGGTCTCGGTTTTCCAAAACTAAAATTGCTGCAAATAATAAGGAATGATAACATAATGTGTTTGTCACAGACAACACTCCTCTGTACTGAAATCGGGGGGTATTGCCACATCTTATTTGGTTTCTTGACAGAAAATGAGTCTCATGTTCAAAACTTTCCAAATCACAGCAACCAGATCTAGCAGTTACAGAACACATTTAGTACTATGACAGGAACACTTTTCATGTGGTTTTTTTGTTTGTGTTTGGTTTTTTTTATTATTTTTTGTGTAATTTTTCCTTAGTGAGTTTACTGCTATGAGAGATGCCTGATGGACATCCCAGGAAAGAAATCCTGCAGATCAATTCACAGAGCCTGCAGTAAGCAGCCCCATCAAAATAATTGAAGCTGAGTGCTCTTTTGTCCAGATCTCAGCTTTAAGCTGCAGGGGTTATAGATGTTTAAACTGTTGCCACAGCTGTGTTTATCAGCTCTTGCCTAATAAAAAATAACCTGAGATTCACTGCTTTTTCAGTCTGCACTACTGGAAAAAGCTGCCTGACAGTTTTCAAGAGAATCTGTTTTCAAACTGTGATGGTTACTGACAACAGAATCTGTTAACAACCTTCTCTGAAGCATCCAAATCGTAACGTATTTCTGGGTTTTGTGACCCAAATGACCACAGCTTTATTCCTGGCATATCACAGAATCAAGGAAGACTTGTACTAGTGGCTGTACTACCAGTTTCAGTTTAACAAAAGTTTAATGAGCTACATGCTCATTTTATGTGCATTTCAGAGCCTTGAAAAACAAAGTAATAGACTAATTTCTAAGTGACTGGACTTCTGAAACCCACTGAAAGATCCATAGATTTCTTGACTCATCCAGAGAGTCAGTAACAGACCCAATGCCCCCCTTCCCACATAGGAAAAAAGAAAACCTTCACTTACTAGCTATCTCATCCTGAAGCAGGTGCATCAGTAAGCAGAGAGAAGAAAGCGTGATCCCCCTCATGCTTAGGAGAGCAGCTCCATGACTGAAGAGCATGCCTCTTCCTCTTGGGCATGTCTTATGAGGAAGTAATTGTTAAACACTGAAGTTCCCCTGATTTTCAGTGGTTTCCAAAATCCCCGGTTTGGCTTTGGTGTAGCTGAGCTGGAAAACATATGAGCTACTCTAAACACAAGCAATTGTTCTTACTTGGCAGCTGTGGTCACTCTGAAGTTTGGAAGTAATTATGAAGCAAACTAGCATGAAAAAGGTCCTTTTTTATTTTTTTTTTTTTTTTAAGGCACTAATTCACAAATGATGTCTGCCAATATTGCTTTATCCCATAAACTTGTCATACAAGCTTGCTTCCTTGCCACACTAAGATTTTTATTTATGTATTTATTTTTCAGCTCACTAGTGACTCAGAGCTGAAGTACACAAGAAATTCCACTGTAAAGATGTAAGAGACTTACCCATGGGATGTCATCTGAATGTGTGGCCTGTCTTCAGGTCGAATGCAAGAGGGTGGAGTTTGCAGGTATGTTGGCTGCAGGACCTCATCTAGGAATCTGTCATTGGAGGAACAAGGGGCTGTGAAATCGCTGTGAGCTGTGCTGCTGGGCACCACACTGGCTGCCGGATAGGTGCTGGGAGATGCTGGGAGGCTGGGGCAGCCGCAGCACTGCCCGCCTCTGGGCAGGGAAGGAGGAGGTGAGCCCATCCCACCAGGCCAAAGTGCCACTGCCTTGGACTTTCAGACTGCCAGGAGTCCTATGCCCTGACTGGTGGTGGAGTGCCACAGTGCTGCCTGCACAAACGTTAGTGTTTGTCCTTGCTGCCTTCTGAGCCTTTCCAGTACTCCCATCCCTGGGGGCCCGGGGCTAGGGATGCAGAGGTCCCTCAGGAAAGTGATCTCGCTTTGTGTTTGTAAATGCTTTACTGCAATGTAGATGCCTGCCAGGTGGGAGCCAGGTTTTGTGTTCCTGGGGTGTATGGGAAGCTCAGCTGTGTTGGTCACTGGTGGTGAATGTGATGCCACTGGAGGCAGCTGGGAGCCTGCTGGCCCTCTTGCCCAGCCTTACCCTTCACACTTTCTTCCCCAAAAGCTCACCAGTGGTGACATCCACGTGTACTTTGCCACTCACACAACAATGCATCTGGGCAAAAGTCATGAAGCATTCTCCTTCTGCAAGCTCAGACTGACAAGCAAGAAGAGAAAACCCATGTTTTTGATGACATACTGCAGAACTATGTAACAATGCCCACCAAAAAAATAATGGACATGAAGACTACCTGTCTACAGAAATGAAACTTTGCCTAACAATCATCTTTACTTTGGAACAAGCTGGAAGCACAATAGCTGTCAGCTCAAAAAAGTGCAAGTTCTGGTTCAAATGAAGATTTTTTTTTTTTTTTTTTTTTCTTAGAGGCAAATTGTTATGTTCAGCAAACTGGTCAACATCTAATGAAGAAGCTGGCCTCAGTCAGATTAATGGGCACAGGCTCCAAGTTCAGCTGATCACCTCTACCTTGTTACACAAACCACCAAACCTGCAGCGGATATATTAAAACACTAGATATGTATCTTTGAATAATTAAGTAGTTAAGCCAGTTAAGGAAACTAAAGAACTGAGAAGAAATGCAGAAGAAAAAACAAAAAAACAAAACAAAAAACAAACACCAAAAAAACCCAAAATGGAGGTAGCAGGCAGAAAGGCCACTTTGCTATCACTGGCTGGGAATTTTTTTTTTTATCCATCCATTTCCCAGACACATTTTCAAAATCCAGTGGCCTTTATGTGGTTCCCCACATCAAATGCAATTAACATTTCATCATGTTGTATGAGCTCAAGTGCGGGAAAAGGGAACTTTTACAAACCAATCATCACACTGAAATGTCATCAAAGTTCAGCCACAGGTTTTGTATTTGCTTACTCGAGTTGTACAAACATACCTTCCCGTACCTCGTGTGACAGCTCATTGCCAGGAGCTGAAGCATGGAGCTTTGCCAAAATTACCTTTGATGTTTGTTCCTCCTACAAATGCAGAACTGAGAGCCAGCCCACCTGGCACTGAAAAGGCTGCTTTGTGGTGTGGTGTGCTGGGGAAAGAAATAACTATCCCATGGAAAAACTCAGTGTTTCTTCCCTGCTGCACTCTGATAGTGCTTTATCTGCAGATTGGCTTGGCATGCTGAAGTAATCAGTAGCTCTTCACGTTTTTGTGATTACAGAAACAACTGCTTGTAATCTCCAGGTTATTCGCTTCTGTAACATTGTCCTACTCATCAACTTCAGTCATGCTTCTTCACACGTGTTTTGTGTGATAAAAATAGCTACAAACAAGTACCAGCTACACAAAGCCACACACTGACATGTACATATATACACATCTTGAGTTTCAGAATGCATGCATAGTACATTTAAAAATGGAAATAACTGAAGAACATGATAGAATGATGTGCACTGCAATGCTATTTAGAATATGAATACTTTTTAAAAGCTGTTGTTTAAGAATACTCTGAACAGAACTTGGTGAAGAAATGGAACATGAAAATGTGTTACTTTCTCCCGCAGAGCCCGAGTAATTAGTTATGCTACTAGTTCATCCTAACTTACAATGAAGCATCTTTTTAATCCAAACTTTTTTGAAACGGCAGTACTGATGTTTCTGTGAACCAGCATAGACTCGTGGGCATGAGAATTTTTCAGTTCCTGGAATATAAATCTATCTATCTGAATGCTGGGTAAACAGATCTCTTTTTCATGAGAACTGGATATTGCTACACAGAGGTAGACGTTAAGTGCACTCTTGCTCAAAGCTGCCTGACTCATTCAATCTGACAGTGCTACTTTATTGGTTTGTTGGTGGTTTTTTTTTTTTCCTTTTCTCTTTCTTTTTCCCTTGAACAAGTTGTTTCACATCCATAAGAGGAGAAAATTTAACACTGGAACTACTGCTGCAGCACCACCCTTGGCTTTTGAGATGTGAGGCTCTGATATTTGCAGTGGACATGTGGGAAGGTTTTGCTTAAACACCTGGATGAGGGTACAGGAAGGTGAAGGAAGGGGAGGAACTCCCAAAGCACTGTGAGAATATGTCTAGTAACTGGCAGAGGCCAGACAAGTCTCTCATGTGAGAGAAAGAGCATTTCACACAGACTCCAAATAAAAAAGACTGGTTCAAATTGTTCTGGACATAAAGATTACTCTCAATTGGAGCCATCGCTTTCAGTCTTTTTCTAAGCAGCCAGCATGGACTCAGAGGAAAACCTCTCTTGGGATGGGGCTCTAGGAGTCATCCAGTCCAGCCTCATGCTCAGAGCAGGGCTAATGCAGTGTTATCCCTCAATCACTTTCAGTGTGTTTTACATCTAAGTGGATTCCCCCACTGCATCTTAAGACAGGTGCTTTTTGTGTTTTCGTTGGGGCCCTCAGAGGAGTCTTTTTTGTGAACATTTATATAGTGGGCAAATGTAATTTGAACCTCTCCCCAGCTGTCACCACTGGCAGCTGAAGGGTCTAGTTCCCTCAGCCTCTTCTGGTGTGTCATGTGTGGCAGGGCAGCCCTGCACCAGCTCAGGGCAGATGTGGAAAATGAATCTACACACACCCAAAAAACCCCAGCCACCACAACCCACACCAACCCATAGTCAGGCAGGAGGGACTTTTTGGATTTTTTTTCTTCCCTGCCTTTCAGAGAGGAGGTATTGCATCACATGGGTTCTCATAGAGAAGTTTCTGAGGAAGCAAGGCTGACTTTCACTGCTCAGTGCGTGCCTTCGCTGCTTCCTGCTCACAGGTATGAACTGTTCGGCTCTCCCCGTAAAAGGGCTTGGGTCAACATTCTAAAGATTATGGTTAGAGATTCCCAATGCTGTGGCTGCACCTTGATCGTGAGACATTTTAACATATTAAAGATGAAGATCTGCAGAAGGCTGACTGTGTAGCAAGTCATTTACGCATACAGTAGTTATTTAACAGTGTGCAGGATACTGAATTACACAAAAGTCAGTAACCAATGCTAGCATTCATTAGGAGTTGTAGGTAATACCAAACCCAAAATTGCTCAAAGCCTTTTATTTAAATGATGGGTTTCTTTAAAATTGTGAAACTTTCCTTATTTGCACAGCCAATTGTTTTTTTTCTGCCGCTAAGGAGTGCTGCAGCTTAAGCCCATTGAGAAACATCTACTTTTCTGTAGGTTGTGGGTCCCTCACTAAGCCACCTACAAAACGCCACCAGCTTAGCCACGTGGGATTAATATTTCATAGCTTGTTGATTTTGCTTAGGTAATCTTAATAGTACAGGAAAGGTGCCAAGTGATGACTTAGCCAGCAGAAACCAGATAAGCCTGGAGAGATATAACACAAACATCGCTCGTGCTTTCTTGGTCCACCTACTAAAGTAAAGAATGGGAGACTTGAAGTGTGGTAGTGCTGCTGATGTTCTCTCTGACACACTTTCACCAGAAGCAGCTGAGGCAGCACCCGAAATATTAGCAATGTGTGTAGGCTATGACCCATGCATTCATTTTTTTTGTAGGCAGTGGCTGGAAGTCTGCCCAAGCACCAAAGCCCTGCCCAAAACACAGAGTGCACTGTGCTGACTCACCATGGAGCACATGAAGGGCAAAAGGTTGTCAGGCATGCACTGGGAGAGGAGATGGAAGGGACTGGGATACCTGCCTCCACATCTGTAATCCAGGCTATGGGCTGCAGAACGAGCAAATGCTTTTGGTTTCTACTTCAGGCAATAAAGCTTGGAAAGGTGCAGACTCCAGAGGTTTCCCTGACCAAGGGGAAAAAGAACATAGTTGTGAAAAAAGAAACTGCCTATCACCTCTTCTGCAAGTGGAAGTTTGTAAGCATTACACCACCTAGCCTGTAGCTCAGTTCTGTGGTTGTCTTTTGAATTCTCAATATCATCTCTGTATCATCTAAGGAGTGCAAACTCTAGAACAGGACTCTATTCAAACAATAATCTTCACCACCACATCTCCAAATTATTATTGAATTTGTAAATGTACTGTAATTCTATGAGTTGCTTTTTTAAAAAAAAACAACCAAACAAACAAGCAAACCCAAGCCAGAGATCAAACAATGTCTCACATCTTGTGTGGATAGAGTCCCTTGGCATTTCATGAATCAGCGTGCTGAGCTTTTCAGGACAGAATCCTCCATGCTCAGTATAACTGGTTTTCACACTTGTCAGAGGTGTTACTTTCGAGTTTACTGCAACGTGACCATTTAACCAGAAAATTGAGATCACCCTGTGATACTTATTTGCCAAAAAGTCTTTGTTCTGTGTTTTTTCTTACAGGAAATGAAATTTGGTGTTTCTCAATACTGGTAGCTTTGCTGCATACCCTGGAAGCAGTTGAAAAAATAATTCGTATTAATCAATCACCCAAATCCACAGAGTTTTGCTCCAATTTCTATTCAGAATTGGAGGGAACAGGTATTATACTAATGCCAGATTGATTCCTGGATTGAAGCCCTGTGGCAGAAGGGACTGAGGATTGTCAAAGGTGCTCTCTGCCTCTGCTTCCACAGGTAAGCTTTTGCAACCTTTTCTTACCCATTATAATTTATTTCACATTTAATCACATTTGCAGAAGGTTTCAATCGTGGCTGTTGTCACAGGCCTCAGCTCTACCAAATCTGGTATCAGGAAGCACACACCACTACATACGGTTCCAGCCTTCTGGGATGTGACTGCACATGCCCTCCACTCTTCCTACAGTTAACTGAGCTGCTGCTATCTTGAAAAACAAAAACAACCACCCAACCAATAATACTGAGGTATTATCTTACAAAACAAAACAGCTCCTAAACACTCAAACCCCTAGAACACGTAACAAGCTGCCTGGCAGAGCTACTCGCTTTGCCTGCTTGTCATTTCCTCTGCATGTAATGCATTTCCTATTTTAAGCTGTTGCTGTGCAGTAGAAAATCAAATTTGCCTAAAATAAATGAAAAATTAGTTTGCAGCTTGATCAGCTATCCTGTCATTGTCCAATTATACAAATGGGCAAGTTAAAAAACATGAGGGTGACAGGTGAGTACAAATAAGAGAAGCCCCCTAAAACCTAAGGAAATAAACCTGGTTTGACTGTAAGTAATTTATAACAGTTTAAACAAAACCCTAATCCATTACTAAACCTCACAGTCTTTGTTGTACATTTAAATGCAGTGATTAATGCAGACATGTTATAAATACAAGTTTCTCCATTTGTTCTTTCTCTGCTCAATCTGCACAGCCATTCCTAAGAGAATCTGAATTCTTAAGGTAGGACTGTTCTTACTGACTTAGCCCAGAAACAGCACTACTCACAGCTTCTGAAGAAGCTACCTGGAAGGAGGTCTATCAGGAGAACTTCTGTGTGTAGTCAAAACGGAGGTAACTCCATGGAACTTAACGGGACAGGTGATTTATCCCTGTGAGTGTGCAGCCCATGTTTAGGATTAGATCCTCCACAATGATGGGCACCTTCACCTCCCACAGAAGTAGTGTGAGGTCTGGGGAGCTTCAAACCTTGTAGGACTGAGCTTTTACGGTAAAACCCTCTGCTTTCACTGCCACATTTTTAGTAATGTTCAACTTGCCAGCAAGACCCATCGATTGGGAATTTTAGGATTCAAAGTCACAGTCTTAAACCAAGTTACACACCGTTTAGCCTGAACCAAATTTGACTCACTTGCATACCATCAGGCTGGTTTGAATTTTTCTCAACTTGCAGTCATAGCCTACAATTAATTTGAGATGCACCGTCCCTCTCCCTCTTATTTCTCAAGATAAGTTCTTCAATGTGATTAAATTGCATATTCTAGATTTGACAGACAAGTGGAACCAAAATTCTTCTAGCAGTAGCTTACATTCTTTGGGGTAAATTAGCACGACACTAAGACAATTAGTTTATTTCCAAGACACATATATACACATGCTCACTATTAAGTAAATGTCACATAAATAAGAGTTTCGTACTCTTTTAAACTTCAAATAAAGTAATCAGTAAGAGTTTGAAGGAATCCCAGCTTTCCTTGCTCTGTAGCAATTAATCCATTCAAATGCTATGACCATCTAATCCTTGTCCACAATTTTGAAATAGAACTTAATCAGAGTCCCCAGGCTCAAGCAATAGAACTGAAGTTACAGCAGGCTGCACCAATAGCATCAAAGGGTGAAAAACACAAAGCTGATGATGTAGCCAGAATCAGTGGGTCAGAGCTCCTGTGTGTCAGCCTTCAGACCTCTCCAAAATCAACCACTGGAGAAGAGCAAAGGCATCACCTCACATCTGTACAGGAGAGAGACTTCTCAAACACATGTAGCTCATGTTCCTCAAAGACGTCCACTGCCACCTGGAGCGAGTGGTATTTCACTCAAAGGGTAACCCAACAAACGAGAAGTGACCTTAGTTTAAAACTACTTCTTCTACATGCCAATACATCTGGGGAGTAGAATGCAATAACGGGCTACGTATAACTACATGTGTGCACACCACACACGCTACACATCTCCCACAGTGCTTTATATTAACTCTCAATAAAGCTCAAGCGTACACTACCTACATAACATGAACCAAGCCAGCTTCAAAAGCAGATTTAGTCTTCAATACAGAACTCGACAGTAAGAAAAAAAGAGAGCACATGCATTTCTCTTTTCAGATTTTTTTTTTTTTTTTTAATTCAATGTAAAAAAAAAAATTAAAAGGTATTTACAAGTAGTTACAAATTTCAGACGAGAAGCAAAGTATGTTCAGCAGACCTGCTGTGGATAATTCAGTTTATAAAGTCACAGAGACTTGGATTACATATTAGAAAATACTTTCTAGGACCAAAGAACTCCTAGAATAAACTGCCTGATGGGGCAGTGGAGTCATTAAACAAACGCACAGAAGGAACAATGCAGTTCTGGAGAGAAGAACAAATGACAGACGCCCTGGAGGTCCCACCTAGCCCAATGACTGCATTCATTTAGAGAATATAGAAAGTGTATTAATAAACAAGGGCTTCAACCACACTAAAGAAATCTATGCAGATCACTTATTTTGTAACATGAAAGGTACTTTCGTGTTTGTTTTAAAACATTCTGAAACTATTAAATTGTAGGAAGTGACACTATTATCAGATCTGGAATCAACAATGAAGTACTGTGCTGGCACACAAGCATCAAATGTTCTGATTTTTATGCTTTTTCAACATAAATCAGTAACTGTACTGGTCCGAGGTAGAACAGAGCTGTTTCTGTTCAATTATTTTACTTTTCAGCTCTAAGCTTTTCTAATTAACTGCACTGTCTGAAGCTAACAGCATATCTTCACAGACTGCCTGCTTTCAGCAGTGTTAACACTCCACATTTAGGGTTAACACCAGGGATTGGTGTGCAGATCAAGGTCACTGCTAAGCTTGTGTACCACACAGAGGGGGACAGAAAGCAAAAGCCACACCTCCAGGGAGCAGCGAATAAGATAAGTGACCCTAAGATTCACCAATGGGGTGTTTGATCCCACATCCCTCATATTCAGCATAAAAGCTGAAGGATCAGGAGGGGCGATCCCTTCTGCTGCCCCTTCCACCTTCTTCCTCACTTTTTTTGCTTCTGCACTGGCCGGCATCCAAGGAGGGTTCCATCCATCCTGCCTTTGATCCTGAGCAGTGTGTTCCTGAACTGAGTTCCAGAACCCAGCTCCTGTGCCCAGCTGCCATCTGCTGCTGGGCCAAGCCTAGGACTTTTCCCCAGGGGCTGCTCCACAGCATCAGGGGTGACGGTGACGTATTGCCGTTGGGGGGGAAGAGCTGTGTTTGATACTGGTTTTGTATATATTTGTATAGATTCCATTTTATTATTACTATTATTAGCAGTAGTAGTATTAAAGTTGTTTCATTTTTCTAATCAATAAGTCTCTCTCCCTTATTCCCTTTCTCTTTCCTGGGTGGTAAGGAGGGTTAACAGAGAGCATCTGTTACTGGTCTGGGGGCAGCTCTGCCCCTGAACCGTGACAGTAATGTAGCTTAAGAAAGAAAAATAAACCATTTCTGTTAAATCTATTGACATATGTGGAAACAAGACATTGTGTAGTGTCCCAGCTGCTCAAAACTGACACTGCTCTGGAGGAAGCAAGCTTTTAAATTTTGAGAACATTTTCTAAAGAACTTGTGCAACACACTGCACACATGTTTCTTCCCTTCCCCCATGACAATTAGCCAGCATGCTACAGCGGAGTTATCCAGAGTGTGACACGGCTACACAACAGATAGCTGCATCACTTGGGATCATCTAGATGTACAAGAAGCAGCACTTTTAAACCCACTTTTTTTCAGTCGCTGGACTTATCTTACAAAGTCTGTCATTTACTCACTGAAATTTACAAAGTAATGGTCCTGGAAGTATATAATTCTAGTTGCAGAAAAGACTATAAATAACTGGTTCTTGGCCATGGAATAAAATTCTTAAGATGTACAGGAAAATATTACAGGCATATGCTTGGTTAAAAGAAATAGTAGCATTTTGTTTAATATAAAAAAAATCCTTCAAGAGAAAAGACAAGCAAAATAACACCTCCAATAAAGGCAAAAGCTGAAATGACTCGCGCACATCACGATCATAACCAAGTGAAGGACTTCTTGACCATTGCGTTCATCAAAATAATTTTGAAAAGGATTTGAAACAGAAGGGAATAATGATACAGCTGCTGTTTTATACTCCTTCATGAAGTCTGTTCCCCATAGAGTATTGTAAAAAAAATAGAGTGCTATATCAAATAGGAAACAGCAGCATATGTCATATAAACAAACATTTCTGTAAATGGTTATTATGAAATTTCCCTCCACTTTGTGCTGTTCTCAGGCACTACTTTCTGTCCTGTTTCAGTGTCCCACTGTACTGAGTTTTGTACTGGTTACTCCGGTTGGATCAGAACAAGCAGAACAACGTTCAGATGTTCATAACACAATCAAGACTTTCCATAATCTTCAGTAACGCTGTTCTTCCCGAGTTCTGGTTTAACGCTTCCACCAGTCAGTCAGTCAGCCTGTAAGCAATCACAGGCTGTTCTTCACCAATATCAATCAACATATCTAATGGGACATGAGGCTTGTCATAGCCAGAAAACTTGAGACAGCTGCTTGGGATGACTGTTTGTTGTATATCTTTGGCGGAAACCTCTGGACCTGAAGAGTTACTGCATACATCCATCTGGTTGCTGTGAGAAATGAAGTAACTCTCTTTTCCTTTGTGATTCTGTTCATCATTGGAAGATACCTCCTCTGTGCTTACCTGCACAGACACCTCTTCTGCTTCAGCTGGTGCCTCTGGGAGAAGAACAGAAGATGCTCCTTCACTGCAATTCTCAGGACGAATAGTCTCTTCATTTTGCTCTGCCTCCAGAGAGGTTACTTCAACGTTCACCGGCAACGATGACTGGCTTGGCATGAAGCTTACTACAGATATGTATTTTCCCTCTGATTTTGATTCTAGAATGCTGTCTGTGTTCAAGTTTCTTATCACACTGACCTTAAATGGGAAGGGGAGTGAAAAAAAAAAAAAAAAATTCACTTTTAGTTCCACATAATCTACTAATTTACTTGCTTATCTTCTGTTAAAGTTAAGAGGTTAAAAAAACCCGAACAAACCCCAAAACAACAAAAACCAAACACCAATGAAACAAAAGATAAAAGTTCATAATATAAATTTAATGTCATTACAACCAATCGAAATGTAAATTAGCAAAATTAGGATCTGGCAAGGTCATAACCCTATATCTATGACTTCAACTGTTTCAGCAACACTTTTATGCAAGCTCTCAAAAATGCTTTCTATGTGCAAATGCACTTGCAAGGACCAGATCCATTCCACGTCACCCCCTGTATTTTAAGTCATTTGAAGTTTGCAATGTAGAGGAAAAGAGTAAAGAACAAGAGGAAGAAAAAGCTGTAATGCTCAACCACCTAGCTGGGGAAACCCTTCACACTCTGTAGTTGAATACAATTTACAATGACTTTTGTGGTAATCATCTCAACTGTAGGAAAGTGACCTTTTGAAGGAGATCTCTAAAATAATGTGAGAACGTTTATGCATATCCAGAAGTCATACCTGTGCTAAAGTATTCCTAGTTATTTCTCCCGTGTCTCTAAGCACTCCCTCAATGCTGGGACAAATCTTAATATTTCACTTTGAAACTCTTTCACAGGAAGAACATATTAATTCTTTCAATGCTGTTTTAAATGACTGACATGCCTTCATGCTGTTTAGATTCTTCTGATTTGTTTGTGGTTGGTTTTGGTTGGGTTTGTTTGCCTTTTTTTTTTTTTTTAAAAGTGTTCTGAAGAATATGAAGAACAAAGCAGGGTAAATTTTCAGCTGTATGATGGTGTTTCCCTATAGCTAACAGAAAGCATAAGGTTACTCAATTAATAATGTCTTCTTCTAAATTTCCTAATTCATTATATATGTGTATCATGGACTATCTAGTACACACAAACTTATTTCTTAGTAAAATGTACATAATCACCATTTTTTGAGATATTTTGTAAAAAAATGATTGAAAATACAGGTTGAGGCAAAGGATGTAGGTAGCAGAAGTAAAGAAAAAGAATGTTGCTTCAGAAAAGCTACAAACAGGCAAAAAGAACCTCCCTGTCTGTATTAGTGTAAGAACCAAGAGAGCCATCGAAACCAGAGGATCAAATCTGCCTGTGCTTTTCAAGAATCTTCCTGGATCAGAAGGTTATGAGGCTAAACCTTTACATTCATACCTTCACACTGTGTTGACTTCATTAGAACTTGCCTTTATCTCTCATTTCAGCCCCACACGTTTCCCCTCAGTTGCTCTGGTATCTGCTGATGGTACTGTGGTTTATGCTGGATCACTGAAACTACTGGAGTTTAAAAAATAAAACAACAAACCCAACCAACCAACCACCACCACAAAGCAAAAACACTCCCTGGAGAGCTGTTATTTGTAATCTGAATTCTACCAACAGCTGTGTTAGCACCACTAAGGTGAGGTGATCCCCTCGGGAATCCAGGGTTGCCACTGGAGAACTACTAAAAAGAGCATTAAGGTGGCTTATGACACTGAGAACATGCCACGTTACAACCTAGCTGCCGTCCAGCCACTGTACTCTCTGGGTGTTAATTTTCTGTTATGCAAGAACAGTCAAAATATTGTATAAAGAATATTCGGAGTAACTTCCACAGGTATGAATGGAAACCCCCTGTTCGTGAGTAGCAAATGCCTGAAAGATAGTTGCAGAAACCAGAATACAATCAAATAACACAGATATTGTGGATTGTTATGAACAGCCAGTAGCATTTCGATACCTTTTGAAAACCTGTTTACACAGATAGATACATGAAAAAATACTGGATACTTATACTATACCAACACTGACCTTCAAGGGAGCAGTATTCTGTAGGTTTTTTGGGGGTAGCAAAAAACTGACTCAAATAGTCACACAGTAAGAGTGAATGACAAAGAGAACGTAATTCTCTGTGTGAGCTGGAATAGCTGAGGAACGTGAATTAAAACAAAATGCTATGGAAACTATAGCTAAAAGCTGCATTTACAACCTCCCATCTCTCCCCATGCCAGTACACACTACACTGAAGTTAAAATCAATAACCAATGAATTCTTGTTTCTGTCCTTCTAAGATTTTCACATGGGTCTAAAAATCACAGCCCTAAAGCACGTTAAGGGAATGCCTTGTGATCTGCATTCTGCATTTCACAGAGTCAGATGGCAATGCTTAGAGATAGTCCCCCAGGGTAAAGTAAGTACTCTCTATACAACTACATCCAAGACTTTTGTTCTCAAAAAAGAAACTCATTTTTATTCTTGGTGAGCTTCTGAGCAAGGTAGAGATGGTGCAAAGGCACTCCTATTCCCATCTGTGAAAGAAGGAAGCCATCAGAAATAAAAAAAAACTCTCACGGGTTTACTGGCACCAAAGGTTCTTTAACAGTCACTGAGTCAGGACTAAAGACAATTCAGCAATTCATGCAGTTATTTCTAGCTTCAATGAGAAGAAACCCCACTTACTACACTAACTGGAATGCCATTCAAAGTATCTAAAGTAACAAGGGTAATTAAGATTATGGTTGTGATATGAAGGAAAGTATTTACTATAGGTAAGTTAATATTTTCCTTTGATGCAAATTATCTAGTACTAGCGAACTGACAGCCTATGAGCTTGAGCTAGATGTCAGCAGTATTTCCTGGCATATGCAGGTGCTCAGATACTTTCCTGTTTTAGTGACAGCACCTGACCTTTCAGGTTTTTCACTGCCTCAGACTAGGAAGATACACCACTGGAAGCCAAGCTCAAGGACACATAGAAATAACACACCCCAAAGAACCTGTAAGTTAAGGTAAACAGCAGTTTGGTTTTTAAATTTCTTTTCTAAGGGCTTGTCCACCTACAGATTCCCAGTAATTTTTAGGTGCACATTTTCTGGAGGAGAGTTTAAGAAATCTACTACTTTTCAAAAATATGGGGGTTATGCCCACTGGTTTTGCCCAGGAAAAGACTCCCAGCAGGACCCCAGTAGTACCTCCTGGGTGGTCTTCTTCAGCATACAGGAGGACAGTGGCGATTAAAGGAGGGATGGGCAACGATCACTTTCTTCCAAAATAAAAGGTTTTAATAACATGAAAATAACAAAGAAAAAACACCAGAGGCAGGCACTGAAACAGCACCCAGCCCAGGGGGAGAAGCGAAAGAGCATGTGGCCTTGGGGTCAGAGGTTTTTAACAGGTAGGTAGGTGGGTTTACAAAAGGCATTATCCTGTAAGGATACAGAGGTGGGATACCTACAGGTCAGGGGTCCAATGGGTGTTAGGGACTGGTCTTGTGGTGGCTAAGCCAACCACCACCTGGGAAAGATGGAAAATTCTGGAGGTATGCCCATGTTTGGAGACAAAGAGACAACAGAAACCTCTGTCTCCAGGGGGCGCACTGCAACAGAAATCTATTCCAAATCTTATTAGGACCTTGTAAAAATCCACATGGCCTTTGCATGGTTCCACAACAAATTAATGCTCTGTAAATGTCCAAATAGGAGACTATGTTACAACCCTACAGACACTCACAGAGAAGGAATAAAAAAATTATTCACAAAATCTCATGAAGCAACTTCTGCCTTGTGAGATGACATTATCTGTCACAAATATTAATTAAATTCACAGAAAGAATTACAATTTCTCCAAATAATAATAAAACTTTTCTGCTAATTTCCTGTCAGGCTAAAAAAAAAGTACCAGCAAATTAGCAGGAAAGTTGAGCTAAAAATGACAGTTGATGCTTTTCAATGAGTCTTTCTCTTACAGACTGGGTGTTTGCTACCCACTAAAACAACTGCCACCATTTAAAGATAAGAGGCACTAAAAAGAAGGTCAGTGAAGTCAAAGCAGAGCTTTGATACACAGAGCTGCTGTGTATCAGTAAAATAAGACCAGGATCCTTTTAAAGTGGATAAGTGGTTATAACAAATCTTATAACAAAAAACTAACAAAGGACAAATCATGCATAGGGCAAGCTGGAGTGACTGTGGAGTGCATGCAAGAAGACAGCCTCTTGAAATCTTTTTGTGAGATAAATGAAAGAAAATGAATTAATAACTACAGCTGATCTGCTGAAACACCAGATTCCTGTGATCCAGCAGAAAACTCACATGACAAAGCCTTGGAAAGGAAACCGTTTCACTAGATGCATATTCCTGCTATGATCCTACTATGAATAAGGATGTTTAGAACAGCTAAACAAATATTCTCTCTAATAAAGATACTCATTCAATGCCCATATTGAAAGACAGCTGCAGTATGGAAGCAAGACCTGTCCATGTTATTTTGGGGAGTCACAAAAGACAATATAAAAATTCTTGAGATCTTGAGAGATCTCCCCCCCCCCACCCCCTCTCCTTTGGGTATATGAGACTTTCAGCAAAGGCCGCTGCTTGATATTTACTCCTTTTTCCTTCTGTTGGAGAATTCCAACTTGCTGAAAGTCACTCAAATAATATTTTAGTATCTACTTAAAGCTGCCAGGAAGCAGATCACTGGAAGGTGGCTGTCCTAAGGTAGGACACCTTGGACACCTAGCACACCTAGCTTTTCTAACGATGGAAAGACTCTACATGTTTCATTTTCAGACAAGCTCAGGTAAAGGACAATGGTCATGACCTGTTCAGAAAGAGATGTCTAGTAACACATTCAAAGGTCAGTGACAGGCTCTTAGATCCAAGATGTCTAGAGATAACTTCATATCATTAAACTTAATATGAATTATTTACAGTATTTATTAACTACTTTAAATGATTAATCATAGAATAATCAATAATTAATCATAAGTCACTAATTTTACATTCTCACGTTATTCATATCACGTGTATTGAAACCATGCGTATGGGTTCTGCAATTTTTGGCTCTAGAGACTTCAATGAAAATGGACAGAATCACAGAATATTCTGAGCTGGAAGGGACCCACGAGGATCAGAGTCCACCTCCTGACTCCACTCAGTGCAACCTAGAAGTTAAACTATACATCTAAATGCATGGTTCAAATGCTCCTTGAACACTGGGGCTTGGGGCCATGACCACTTCCCTGGGGAGCTTGTTTCAGTGCTGGACCACCCAGATAACAATATTTATAAGTAGCTACAGGTTTAATTCAGCTCCTTAGCAACAAAGCATGATATGGAATGTGAACTAGACTGTGGTATGCCTAAACCTAGGAATCACAAGACAACATACAGCCCAGTAAACTGAGAACATGGACACACAAAGGAGTTTCTACCAGGTAAGCTAAAGTGTGAGCTTGGAGCATGCATCAGGAAGCTCACAAGAGTTAAGAAGCACACATTCTATTTGTGTGATACTCCCTTTCCTGATCTGTTAGATGCAATACCACAGTGGCACTGGGAAGACAGAATGACTATGGATCCATCGAGCATTGCACTGCCATTCTGGATGAGCTGTCTTTTGCTATAATGAGTGGTCTCCACAAAAATTACTACATCTGTATGCAGGATATACTGTTATGTATTCAGACAGTTACATACTGGTGTGAAGATGGAAAAAAAATCTCCAGTGTCTCACTTTAGAAAAAAGGCCTGTGTGTCTTGTTATTTGGGTCCAGCTGCAGATTCTGTCAAATAGGTTTCTCTCACCTGATTTTTTTAGTCTACAGTGTGAATGGCTATCTCTGAACTAATCTCATAGCTCCATCACAGTCCATGGAATGAAACGGATATCTTTTGAGTGTTTTGTCTGACTATAAGTCCACGCTAATTTTAGAATGAGATGAATCATCTTGTGCTGCACAAGTTGGACTACATTACTGTTTACTAGAAAGGGACCTAGCCAGCACCACTGGGTTGGGTATCTCCATTTAGTCAGAGCAATCTCACCTCCTAATACTCTATTCCAAAGAAAGCGGGCTCAAGGCATCTTAGGCACTGAGCTATTCCTGCAGTACGAAAGAGTCACTTTAAAGGGTCTTGAACATGAAGAACATGGAATTGAAGATCACTGCCTCTTTTCTCTAGAAGTCTTATGAGCCTTCCTTCATCCACTGAGAAGATACACTCTTGATATGATTACCATTTACTACGGCCTCACATGGCAGTTGTGAAAGCTGTTTCAAGTGCTGCAGATTGTTCAGCTCCTGTGACTAATGAAACACCAGGAGATCATTGTAACAGTACCTGCCGGATAACTCCACTCTTGCCTGACGTGAAATCAAGGAGTGCTGCTGCTCTTTAAGGAACATCCACTCTGTTACTTGAGGACAGCTACAGGAAGCTTCTAAGGTAGAGCAGCCACTGACCCCTATTCCCTGTGACTGCTCAGTCTGAGAACAGATTTCCCCTAGTTTTGCTTCCCTTTTCCTACAGCATAATTACTCCAACCCTCCTCTCACTCTGCACATCACTTCAAGAAGATTGTAGTACTTGGCAGTATCACAGTATTACCAGGTAATGAAGGAGTCTCACTGATACCCAGTGACAGGACAAGAGGCAATGGGCACAAACTGAAACATGTGGATCTTTAACTCAATATAAGAAAGCAATTTTTACTGTGAGAGCAGTTAGACACTGGAATAGGCTGCCCAGAGCAGTTGTGGAATCCCTCGCTTCCTTGGAGGGGTTCAAAACCTAACTGAACAAAGTCCTGGGCAACCTACTCTTGCTGACCCTGCTTGATCAAAAGGGCTGGACTAGATGATTTCAAGTGGTCTCTTCTAATCTCAGTGATTCTGTAGGTCTGTATCTCTGCTACTAGAATGAACACAAACCTATTTACACACACATGGAGCTTTTAAGAACTAAGTTCTCAAACTAGAATAGAACAACTATTGCTACTTCAGTTAAAAAGGAGAATGAAGTCTAACCCTAAAAGAAATATGAGACATTTGCTTGCAGAGGCTGTTAGAATATTATACTGGTACAGATTCTAAACATCTATTAGACCATGGAAAAAAAAAGAAAAAAAGACAGGCATAAAGATGTTATAGCTATACAAGTTACCTAGTTGGATATTAAAAATGTGATGCAGATAAATCTGAACTTACCAAAGACTTAGGCAAAGGCAGTTTTAAGTTCTTCTTCCTTAGTTTCTTGCAGGCACAACATACTGTCAATGTTAGACTCAGGATCAGAATAAGAACACACAGAATGATGACGTATTGTGTGCCTAAAGAAGTTAGAGCAAATCTGTTAGAAAGTTTGGAAAAATAAACCACTGCTATATCATTTAGAATAACTTTGGAAACTGTAACAGCTCAGAATGCTTAGTACCTGAAATATGTGAATTTGTTAATTTACCACCTTTTTTCCACTCCAGAAAATGTCAATTTATAAAGCATTATAAGAATAAAAATTAGAATGACAAAACATTTTCATTTTCTATAAACAGAGTCATATTTTTACAGATGTGAAGGAATTTTAGAACTAATTTTTTGTTCTTAGAGATGGCAGATGGGGATAAACAGATTTGTACGTTTTCCATGTGACAGCATATTAACTAACATAACACACATATTCTATGTACAATAAAATCAAAATGTGAAATCTTCCAAAACACAGAATTGTTAACTATTACTAGTAAGATTCCACTAGTATGACTCTACTTGATGTCCTTGCCCTCAGTCACACCACTGCTCTTGCGTGTAAAAGAAAACAGAGCTGCTTCTATCAGTTTTCTCTCTTTTCTCTAGTGAAGCTTTGGGCCATAACAAAGTAATATTAAAGAGTTTGTAAGAAGTTATCAGAGATATATGTATAAAACCAGGCCACTAGATGCCTTTGTGTTCTTTAGTTAAGAAAAAGACAGCAGCACCTGAATTTTATGACCACAAGTTTGTAGTTGCTTCAAACAAGTAAATCTATCTATCTGTATATATACACATTTTCCTCAGTGATGAAATCGAGTAAGAAGCCGTTTGTTAGAAGAGAGGGACAATGCTTCTGTAAACCATGTAACTCAGTGAATGATCCATTTGTCACTTGTGAATTACACCACCGATCAGGTGCAATGGAAACAGATTTTATAATACAAATGAAGCAGGAAAAGCACCCCCAAAAAAAGAGTTAAGGTTACTTGAAAATAATACGTGATCTTTAAAGGTCTTTAGAACTGGGAAAATGCATCTGGAAAAGAATGATCATGCTTTCCCTTTTTTCATATTCTCCCATAGGCATGCAAGTAATCCCATGGCTGTACCAGAGCTCACATATGAGCAAGAACAGGCCTCTGGTCAGACTCAGTATGCTGTTACTGAAGTTTCAGAATCCTCTTACTCAATGTCTGCTTGAGAGGAACATGAATGCAGCTCTCTTCTGACCGGGTGCCACGAACCACATGCTCATATAAACTTCCTTGTGCTGAAACGCAGTAAGTG